TTATTTTACACAACTGTCATAATTACCTGCTTGTAATTATGACAGTTGTGTAAAATAAGCAAAGTATCCAGAATACTCTGACCATAATAATTCACTCTGTCAAGAGCTGTCTGCTGAAAACTAGAAGAAAAGTTGGAGAAGAGATTGGAACCCATTTGAAAACACTTAGAGTGACTTTAAGCAATGGTACTTAAGTCTGCATCCTCTCCTCTTCCTAGGAAAGGGTAGGATCTTGTATAAAAAGATTTGGCTTGGCCAGCTATAAATGTTTGGCTTCGCTAGCGAAAAATTATAGATTTCCAATTGTCTGTATCCATCCATCAAAGCAACAATATAAATACAATTACATTATTCAAACTAAATATTTTCACATATGAAGAGTACACATATACCAAGAGGAATATTGCTTGGAAACCTGATTATATAACTCAACTTTTTCAATACTTACCCTAAAGCTTGAAAGGAAGGAATAGAACGGGCCCAGTGCATAGATAAGAAAAGCAATCTAGAGGCTGATTCACAAATATAATGAACATTCAAATATTCAGGCATAGGTGAAGGCATGGTGAGCTGTAAGAAAAGAATTTTAAAAATGAACTTGTCTGATATAATTTGTATATTAACAAAAATAAATTAATATATTAACAGAGTAGTAGTAAAGAATATAATTCAAAGCCTAGTATACCAACAACAATCAGAATTGGAAAGCTTTGTGATTAATACTGATATTTTCAATAATCTGTCTCAGAGAAATGAATTTTTATTTTTAAAAAGTTAACAAACATTTAAATATAAATTTATTTCCTTCAAAAAAACTGTACTAAGAATTAGGAATAGCAGAGTCAAAATATTTTACAAAATAGGCAAGTAGACTGTTAATCTCTTCCATTTCAATATCACTGTTATTTTAGCAAAGGTATACAAAACAGAAGGGTTTAAATTATCCTCTTCATTCCAAATATGCCCCAAAGCAGTTTCCCCAGCTAATTCCTCTTCTTCTCATTCATGTTATTTACATTTCCCTAAATTCTCTGTTGTGGCACCTGCTGTTTGGAACAGCCTTCCCCTGAGATCTGAAGCATCCCAATCCTCTTGGCCTACTGGAGGGCTGTTAAGACCTGGCTTTTCCCCCAATCACTAGGGCTGAGATATTATGAGAGCCCAACATATATGTGCTGGTTTTATAAATTTGGTACATGATGCCTTGGTTTTCTTTTAAATTGGATTATTTTAACTTTGGTTATATTATTTTTCTTATAAAGTAGTTGTTAGCTGCTCAGAGTTATGCATTTATACTGGTGGCCATATACATTTTCTGTACAGTATAAATAAATACATTGTTGCTCTTTGCGCTTACTCTGCTCACTGTTAGCACTCAAAAAACTTTTAACTCAAGCAAATACTTGTTTCCTGTGGACTCTTACTTCCTTTAGGAACCTTCTCACAGTTCTGCTTTTTCAAATATTGGCACATTGAAATGTTTTATTCTTAACTGCCCTCTCCACCAAATGCCACCAAAATTAGCATAGTAAAACGTTAGCCTCTGACTTAAATTAACTAACAGAATTATTACTTGAGATTGAGAAAACGAGTCTGCAAAAGAGAAGCTGGCAATAACATGCATCAGCTTAATGTGTATCAGAGGCTGTACCCACTCTGCTATGGGTAAATCGAAATACGAGATCATTTCAAAATATATGTTCCTATACAGAAGAACCAGTTAAGCTGTTTTTTTTTTCAGGAAAGGTACTAGCATGTGGTTATTCTTAGATAATGATTATTTAGTGCAGAGGTTCTCAAAGTACGGCCCGCGGGCCAGATACGGCCCACCAGGGTCATTTATCCGGCCTGCCCGCCTGATTGGCCGCCGCTGCTGTCTGTCAGAAGCAGAAGTGTTGGGGCTGTGTCGGGAGCTGCAGGCGACGCACAAGGAGGGAGATCGCAGAGCCGAACTATTCTACATGACAGGTATGCCGGGTCCGGCGGCTCTCCTCCTCTCCTCATACTCCACAGGAGGGATCCTCTA